CACGGCTCTTGAACTCGATCCCTCTATTAATGAAAGCTAACACACCATACGCCCTCTTAACCATTCTATCCACCTGGGTGGCAGCTTTCAGGGAACTGTGGACATGAACCCCGAGATCCCTCTGCTCCTCCACACTGCCAAGAATCTTTCTGTTAACCCTGTATTCTGCTTTCAAATTTGTTCTTACAAAATGAATTACCTCACACTTTTCAGGGTTAAACTCCATCTGCCACTTCTCAGCCCAGCTCTGCATCCTATCAATGTCCCTTTGTAACCCAGAACAGCCCTCCGCACTGTCCACAACGCGACCCACCTTCCTATCATCCGTGAACTTACTAATCCACCCTTCCATTCCCACATCCAAATCATTTACAAAAATCACAAATAGAAGAGGACCCAGAACAGATCCTTGTGATACAACGCTCGTAACTGAGCACCATGTTGACTATTTTCCATCCACTACCACCCTTTGTCTTCTAAGGGTCAGCCAATTCTGAATCCAATCTGTCACATTTCCCCCTATCCCATGCCTCCTTACTTTCTGCATGAGCCTACCGTGGGGAACCTTATCAAACACCTTACTTAAATCCATGTATACCACATCCACTGCTCTACCTTCATCCATGTGTTTGGTCACCTCTTCAAAGAATTCAATAAGGTTTGTGAGGCATGATCTACCCCACACAAATCCATGCTGACTATCACAAATCAAACTGTGCCTTTCCAAGTGATCATAAATCCTATCTCTAAGAGCCCTTTCCAATAATTTGGCCACCACTGAAGTAAGTCTGACTGGCCTATAATTTCCAGGGATATCCTTATTCCCTTTTTTGAACAAGGGAATGACGTTTGCCACTCTCCAATCTTCCGGCACTATACCCGTGGACAGTGAGGACAAAAAGATCATTGCTAAAGGCCCTGCGATCTCTTCCCTCACTTCCCATAGAATCCTTAGATAAATCCCATCAGGCCAGGGGGATTTATCTATCTTCAAGTTCCTCAAAATTCCTAGTACGTCTTCCTTACTAACATCCACCTCCTCTAGCCTACCAGCCTGTTTCACACTGTCCTCCTCTATAACTAGGTCCCTCTCAGTTGTGAATACGGAAGAAAAGTATTCATTAATGACCTCTCCTATCTGTTTAGGCTCTGTGCACAAATTCCCTTTACAATCCTTGATCGGCCCTACCCTCTCTCTGGTCATTCTCTTATTCCTCATGTACGTGTAAAAAGCCTTGGGGTTTTCCTTGATCCTATCTGCAAAGGGTTTCTCATGCCCCCTTATAGCTCTCCTAAGCCCTTTCTTCAGCTCCTTCCAGGCTAACTTGTATCCCTCTAGAGCCTTTTCCGATCCTTGTTTCCTAAAACTTATATAAGCGTCCTTCTTCCTTTTAACTAATCGTTCGACCTCTCTTAAGAACCAAGGCTCCCTCACTCGACCGCATCTTCCCTGCCTGCTGGGGGTAAACATATCAAGCACACACAGTATGCATTCCTTAAACAATCTCCACATTTCTATAGTGCTCTTCCTGACAGTATCTGTTTCCATTTTATGTTACTCAGTTCTTGCCTAACAGAATTATAATCACCTTTCCCCCAATTATAACCCTTACCCTGCTATATGTACCTATCCTTTTCCATGACTATTGTAAAAGTAACAGAGCTATGATCACTACCGCCAAAATGCTCTCCTACCAACAGGTCTAATACATGGCCCAGTTCATTGCCAAGCACCAAATCCAAAGTGGCCTCTCCTCGTGTTGGTCTATCTACATGCTGTGTCAGGAATCCTTCCTGAACACACTGGACAAAATCTGTTCCATCTAAACTATTACAACTAAAAAGTTTCTAATCAATATTTGGAAAGTTGAAGTCACCCATGACTACAACCCTGTGACTTCTGCACCTTTCCAGTATCTGCCTCCCAATCCGCTCCTCCACTCCTCTGCAACTATTAGGGGTTCTGTAAAAAACCCCCAGCAAAGTGACTGCTCCTTTCTTGTTCCTGATCTCAACCCAAACTGACTCTGTAGACATATCATTCTCAAACTGCCTTTCAGTAGCTGCTATACTAGCCCTGACTAGCAATGCCACTCTCCCGCCTCTCTTACCAGCCTCCCTATTTCTGTGAAAGCATCTAAATCCTGGAACTTCCAACAACCATTCCTGTCCCTGAGTTACCCAAGTTTCCGTAATGGCCACAACATCGTAGTTCCAAGTACTGACCCATGCTCTAAGTTCACGTGCCTTATTTCTGATACTTCTAACATTGAAGTATACACGCTTCAAACCGTCTCCGTGTCCACAATTATGCTCCATCAACTGCATTTTTTTATTAACAATCTCACTCCCTGTTGTGTCTGTTGGAAGGCTGAATACCTCATCCTCTGAATTATAAATCTGGTTCCCCACCCCCTGCCAATCTAGTTTAAACCATCCCGTATAGCTCGTGCAAACCTCCCTCCCAGGATATTTGTGCCCTTCCGCTTCAGGTGCAACCCGTCCTTACTGTACAGGTCCCACCTTCCCCAGAATGTGCTCCAATTATCCACATAATGGAAGCCCTCCCTCCCTCCCTCCTTCACCAGCCCTGTAGCCACATGTTTAGCTGCACTCTCTCCCTATTTCTTACCTCATTATCACGTGGCACTGATAGTAATCCAGCGATAACTACCCTGTTTGTTCAGCTTCCACCCTAAATCCCTGTACTAGTTTTTCACATTCTCTGTCCATTTTCTACCTATACCTCTATACCACGTCTGTGGTGAAGAGATCAAAAGAGAACTATGAATAACCTGTAATCTATTGAAGACTACTTATATTTATTATAAAGTTCTGTTTCATTGTTGTCAAGTTGCAAGTAAAGATCATTCTCAGTGTTATGCAGTCTGAATATCTGATCCTGCAATTGTCAAGTAAAGTTCAACAGAAATAAAGGCTGATCAATTCAACCTTAATTCCGATTATATCTTAAAATCTTCAGAGAATCCCTATAGTGTGGAAGCAGGCTATTCAGCCAATTGAGTCCAAACCAACCCTCAGAAGAGCATCCCACCCCATCCCTGCATTTCCCACCCGAGACACAATGGGCAATTTAACATGGCCAATCCACCTAGTTTGTACATCTTTGGACTGTGGGAGGAAACCCATGTAGACATGGGAAGAATGTGCAAACTCCACACAGACGGTCGCCCGAGGCTGGGATCAAACCCATGTACCTAGCACTGTTAGCCACCGTGCTGCCCACCTTTGTTGAAGTATTGATTTTGCACCAGTATGGAAAATTATAAAGTGATTTAAGAAAGGCTATAAGGAGAAGCCTGGAAACTATAGACCTGTGAGCTTGACATCGGTGGTGGGCAAGATGTTGGAGGTGATTCTGAAAGATAGGATTTACATGCATTTGGAGGCAAGGACTGATTAGGGACAATCAGCATGGTTTTGTGAGAAGGAAATCAAGTCTCACAAACCTGATTGAGTTCTTCTGGGGAAGTAATCAAAAAGGTTGATGAGGGCAGAGCAGTAGACATTATTTAATGGACTTCATTAAAGTCTTTAACAAGGTTCTGCATGGTAGTCTATCAGTAAAGTTAGATTACACAGGATAAGGTGTGAACTTGCCAATTAGATACAAAATTGGCTTGACGGTAGGAGACAGAAAATGGTGGTGAAGGAGATAGTAGGAACTGCCGATGCTGGAGAATCTGAGATAACAAGGTGTAGAGCTGGATGAACACAGCAAGCCAGGCAGCATCAGAGGAGCAGGAAAGCTAACGTTTC